GAACCGCAATGGTTACCCCTCATTGCACTCTCACGCGCCAGGATCTGGCCCTCACGAGAGCCCCCCCGCCCTTGAAGTGGCACGTTCGTGAAGCAACTAACCACGTCAGAGCCGCAGCTCCAGACGGGTGTCTCGAGTCCGGTATCGCCGAATGCGCGGGTGAGCTCGATGACAGAAGCCGTGCGCTGGACGTCGGTGTGGGCGTGCTGGGGAAGGAAGCAGCCCCCACCCAGTCCAGCGCACGCGCGGCCGAGGTTTCCGAACAGGCCGTGGGCCATGCCGCTCGGTCGACAAGGGGGCGGCGGTCGCTTGGCTTCGACCGCTTTTGATTTGGCGCGCTCGCCATCGGCATCTTCCAACACGATCGCCGACTAATGCGCCCCGGCTGGGTATCCTCCGACAGCTTCGGGAGCATGGACACGCGGTGCCCCCGCCCTCGGCCAGGGGGGGGGCGTGACCCCCCTTCCCCACGCGGGGAAATTAGTTCCCCCACCCCCAGGCGCAAGGCATACCCCCCCCCCCACCCCGGGCGACGATGACGTCGAAGACGACGGCGACGACGCAGCGACGACGACGACAACCATGACGACGACGCACGACGAAGACGACGACGACGAGGAGCAGAGTGGAGCAGGCGTAGAGTAGAGTAGAATATAGGAGGAGTAGAGTAGAGGTTAGATTAGAATCGAGAGTTGGGTAGAATACGGCATGGTAGAGAACAGTTGAGGTTTGAATCAGATTTAGAGCCGGGTAGAGAAGAATACATAGGTAGAGCCAAGCAGATATTATAATCAAGCAGATACTAAATAGTGTTGAGCAGAGCAGAAACAAAGTAGATTGTTTGTGTACAGTTGTATACAGTATGAGGATGGAATACGACATGGAGAGGACAATGTGCACATGAGAGTCTATTGGAGTGGCTCATAGCAAATAGAGTTGAGTAGACAAGAGTAAATGGGTACAGTAGCTCTGAAATAGAGTAGAGCGCAGCAAAGCTGAGCAGAGTAGGAGGATGAGTAGAGTAGAACATATTAGACAAAGTTTAGTAGACTGCATCATACTAGTATACAGGGGGTTGGGGTACGGCGGAACAGAGTAAGGCAGAGTTGACTAGAGTAGAAACGAGTAGCGTAGGGATGAGAAGGAGTAGAGTAGAGTAGCAAAAGACCAAGGTGGAGTAGAGTAGAGTAGAGTAGAGCAGCTTAGGGCACGATAAAGTAAATGGGACAGAGCATAGTGGGGAAGAGTAGAGTAGAGTAAAGTAGAGTGGAGGAGCGTAGAGTAGAGCAGGGTAGAGTACGGTAGAGTACGGTAGGGCTTCGGTGGGAAATTGCGAGAGCTGGATCGTAGCATTCCATCAGAGCCAGCGCCTGGCGCGGGCGCTGGCGACAGGTGCGCCGCCGCCGCCGCCGCTGTCTTCGTCGTCGTCCTCGTCTTCGTCGTCGTCGTCGTCCTCGTCCGCGTCCTCGTCCTCGTCCTCGTCGTCGTCCTCGTCGGAATCGGCCTCGTCGTCGTTAGCCGTCGCCTTCGTCGTCGTCGTCGTCATCGTCGTCGTCGTCGCTCCCAGGGGGCGGGGGATTCTGGACCGCCCCCATTAAATTTCCCGGGGGGCGGGAGGGAGGGGGGGTCTTTCAACGCCACTCATTAATTGTCCCAGCGGGGGGGGGAGACGGGGGTCGGGCCCCTCCCGAGGAGGGGGGGGGGCGGGAAGGGGGCGGAGGGGTCCCCTGGTGTCACCCTCCCCCCTTTGGTGGATTGTTCCGGGAGGGGGGGGGGGGCCTGGTTCTTGACCCCCGTTGACAGAAAAGTGTCAGACCGGCGACGGTGGACCGCGCTCCCTCGGTTCAGCCTTCGCGGGCCGTCCGGGGTCCGCCGCGGATGCTTGGTGGGCCTTCGCGGGAACCTCTTGGCCCACTTTGGGACCCTCGCAGGGACCGTCTTTGGGCCAACGGGGAGGTTTTTTTGGGGGGGGGCGTCTTGAGTTGACGGAAACCCGCAACGTGAGAATGCGAAAATGAAACATGAGGGGGAAACCGATGGGAGTCCATGCTAGCCAGCGTGGACCCCAAATCATGATTTCTTCTAACTTACGCCGCACAATGCAGGTGGTACAATGTATGTGGTGCAAAGCAAAGAAATACGATGCCACGCGTTGCAGAGCAATGCAGCCCTAAAACAACACATTGAAATTTAAGCCACGCGCATGCAAAACAATTCGATGCAAGCGCAATGCCATTGCAACGCAATGGCACGCGATTGCACCGCAACGCGATTGCAACGCAACGCAATGCGATTGCAATGCAACGGGGGGGGGTGCAACTTGGCGGCGGCGACGGGCAGAATCGGAAAAATGGAGCGGCGACGGCCAGGTTCTTCTGGAAAGTCGGAACCCTGCATGCAAGCATTGTTTGGGGAATGGTTGGATGTTGTCTTGGTGCCCTTGTCGGGTTTTCTCCGATACTCGGCCGCAGTGGGGCCAGTTTGGCCCGTCTTCGAGGCATCGGGTGGCATCTTGGTTGCCTTGGTTGCTTGCGTCGACCGTCCTGGAAGTCCGGGGCGCGGACACATCGTCTTTTACGAGGGGCCGTGGCCACAGGAGCGCAGACCCAACGTTCGTTTCACAAGACATCGCGGCCTCGGGAGCAGGCGGGGTGCATGCAGCTGCCTGGTAGTAGAGAAGGGGCCCACGTTAGAAGACAGGAGCCCTACAAAGCATCACCTGGCATTGCCACACGCCCTCATCGTGCAGACACGGTGGCGGATATTGAGTGGTCCAAATGCCCAAAGAACAAGCGTTCGATTCCCATGTCTATTGTTTGAGGCCATGTCGGGTTGAGTGATCCAGAGTTCTCGAGGCAATTCAAAGAGGCAGCGTTCGCACTATTATGTAACAAGTGTTCCGCATTCCACTGCCGTTGTGGCCGAAGGCCTAGCGAGGCGCCAGGAAATCGCTGCGCAAAATTTCTGAAGACCAAACAGCGGCAACAAGCGAAGTTTTCAGAGGTCCGCGCAGATGTTAGCTGGCCGGAGCCGTGCCCCCTTCCCCACCACCCCTCAGCGGCGCCAGTGCACATCCCGTGCCGGGGAAGGGGTGTGGGCAAGCGGGGCCAGCGCCGACCCCAAAATCCGAGCAGACCTCCGAAGGCTGACACGTACGCCGCTGTATGGTGTTCGGTCGTCCTTGCCCCAGCAAGCCGTAGTTGAGCGATGGGGAAGGCAGGGCAGGCACGCTGTGTGCACCGCACCTTCGGCAAGAAGACAAAGGTGAAGAGCGCGGGCAAGGCTTCCAAGGCCGCCACGCCGCCCAAGCTGAAGCAGGGCCTCGCGGCCGGCTCCGTGCTCATCCTGCTCGCGGGCAGGTTCCGGGGCCGCCGGGTGGTGTTCCTGAAGCAGCTCGAGAGTGGCTTGTTGCTCGTGACGGGCCCCTACGCGATCAACGGCGTTCCCCTCAGGCGCGTCAACCAGCGGTTTTGCATCGCGACCAGCGCCAAGGTGGATCTCAAGGGGGCAGACTATTCGAAAATCGACGACGCCTACTTCACCAAGGAGGCGAGCAAGAAGAAGTCCGCAGCGATGTTTGCCGCCGACGCCGAAAAGACGGGCATCTCGAGAGAGAAGAAGGCGGGGCAGAAAGACATGGACGACAAAGTTGTGAAGGGCCTGGCAGCCGACATGAAAGCCTATCTGAAGGCTCGGTTCTCGCTGTCGGATAAGATGTACCCCCATGAGCTGAAGTTCTGAGTGGATCCCGCCGCGGTGCGTGGGCCAGTTGGCCTGTTACCCAGGAGGGGCACAGGTGAGGGAGGTCGCTTCGCGCTAAACGACGACGGCCCGCGAGGAGGCGGAGGATGACGGGTAGTGGGGAGCAGTGGGAAGGAGTGAGGAGGAGGAGGAGGAGGAGAAGGAGTACTGGGGTGTAGAGGGAGGAGGAGAAACAGTAAGGATGAGGATGCGTAAGTCGGAAATGTGAATGATGGGAGGAAAAAAGACGACGCTGAGTGAGGGAGAGTGGGAAAGAGTGGGGAAGAGTGATGAAGAGTGAATGGGGACGAGAAGGACGGACACGTGAAGGAGGAGGAGGAGGAGGAGGAGCGAAGGCAGAGGGGGGAAACGTTCTACCCCAACCAGTGTTTGCACGTAGGGCTTTTGATTTGTCTCCCAAGGAACTGGCCTCCTTTGTCGGGCCCGCCGCCCTGTTGCCGCCTAGGCGCCCCATCGCCGACTGGCCGCCGCCCGTGGTCTTTGCTCGTCTGTCGGGTCTGCCGCCTCGTTGCCGCCGTTGCCTCCTCGTCGCCGCCCGTCGTCTGGCCTCGCTTGTTCTGTCCGCCGCCTTGTTGCCACCGTCGCCGCCTCGTCGCCGCCCGTCGTCTGGGCTCGTTTGTCGGATTCGCCGCCTTGTTGCCGCCGTTGCCTCCTCGTCGCCGCCCGTCGTCTGGCCTCGTTTGTTCTGTCCGCCGCTTTGTTGCCACCGTCGCCGCCTCGTCGCCACCCATCGTCTAGGCTCGTTTGTCGGATTCGCCGCCTTGTTGCCGCCGTCGCCGCCTCGTCGCCGCCCGTCGTCTGAGTTTGTTTGCCGGGTCCGCCGCCTGGTTGCCGCCGTTGTTGCCTCGCCGCCGCAGCATGGGTTGCACAATATATATATATAATATATATATATATATATATATATATATATATAGGGTTCAGTTTTTCAAACGTTAGTGCTCTAAGTTGTAGCGCAGCCGCCTCGATAAACCGATGTGCATCCATGGACATCGGGCTCAAGTGCATTAATTTGCGGCCAGTCCGCATGCAGCTTGCCCTTCTTTCCAATTCCTGGAACATTCTCTCCAGAGGCTGGACAGCCTTTCAGACGATCAGAAGTGTGTTGGCGCCCGTGGTTGCGAGTACGGGCGAGTGCGTAGCAGTGCTGGATCTCTTCGGTGGGACGCGGGGCCTGGCGAGCACCTCGTTCATCCTCGGCTTCCTCCTAGCGAGTGCCTTGTGCTGTGGGTGTCCCCATGGCCGTGGAGGCCGGCAGGAGGCTGCTCGTGCAGTGGGGGGATGGGCAGGACTGGCAGGCCCGCGTCGCCATCGCTCCCGCCACCGCCGCCGATCTGCAGGCCATCATGGAAGTTCAAGCGACTCCCGAACAGATAGCAGCAGGGAAGATATGGTGGTGCGGGACCCCGGACGGCGACGCCTACCCTCACTGCCTGGACGTGGGCCCGCTCAGCGGGTTGATCCTGTGCGACGACGAGGGCCGGCCAGATCGGGCGACGCTCCTCGGCACGCGGTTCACCAACCGCACGCGCGTGTATGGCACGGACTGGAGCGCCACGCCGCTGGAGTTCGCCAAGATGATCAAGCTAGCTGTGCATCGGCGACCAGTGGCTGGAGCCCCGGCTGGCAGTAGTGGCAGCTGGGGGTGGAGCGGTGGCGAATCTGATTGAGGTCGGATCGCGAGCGCTGCCGCCCCCGACGCCCGACGGCTGGCAGGTCGTCTGGAGCACGGGCGGCACCCCGCGTAAGACGCTGCTGGGCAACCTGAACGTTGATGAGTTCGCTGTCTGCGACGTCGGCGCGCTCGCCGTGAAGGGCTCAGAGGTGCTGCTGCTGCGGAGGAGCTCAGGCGTCGAGGACGACTTGGACTCGGATGCCCGCGTGCTCAGCATCGTCCAGAGCCCGAGTGGCGAGAGACGGCGCCCATTCAAGGATAGTGTGAGAGAGATGACTGAGACAAGCTGGGCGGCATGGCCAATCCTTGGCCCCAGGACCGCCCGGTGGTGTCTCGATTTCATTGCTGAGCAAGACACCCACCCCCGCGCGCGACACACGAAATGGAGACATGAAGCGGGGGTGGGTGGTCAGGACATCGGTTGTCAGGACCATGAGCTGGCGATGAGAATGATAGAGCTCGCCGTGGTGTACGACCAGCTCAACATCACCGAGCTAGCGAGTTTCGAGCTGCTCTTGAGGATGGCGCAGCTCGCCGAGATGCGGTATCGTGACAAGATCCGGGGGAAGCACGGCGGGGACGAGTTCGCGGAGGATGAGTTCTTGCACATGGGGGCTGGCCTCACGCGCGGCCTGGTGATGGTGAGCCCGGACCTCTCGGATCACATCACCGAGCAGCTCCACAAGGAGGCCGCCGTGATGAAGGAGCGCAGGAAGTTGAAGGAGGAGAGGCAGGCAAGCCTTGCCCCCGGCGGAGGGGGCGTGGGTGGGAGCTCATCCGCAGCGGCCCAGGGGCTGCAGCAGAAGGTGAACGCCCAGGCCGCCGAGATCCGCAGGCTGATGGACAAGGTCGGTGAGACTGCACCTGCTGGCGACGGAGGCGCCGGCGGAGGACGCGGCCGCGGTGGCGGCCGGGGGGCCAAGTAGCCTACGGCGCTCCCATGGCGGTCCCGCGGGAGCTGCTTCCAGTGGCTATCCCTGCGGGCCCGCCGCCCGCGCCCCCTGTGGGCGCCTGCAGCCGAGCTGCGAGGAGCCGACTCCGCAAGAAGGAGCACCTCCACGCCTGGATGCAGGAAGTTCTGGTTTCAATTAATGAGCTGTATGGCCACGGGTCGCTGCCCGCCGACGGCAAGTCTTCGCTCGCGCAGGAGTGCGGGCTGGAGCATGTCAGGCGCGCGGTGGAGGACGCCGCGGCACCGCCAGCTTGCACCGCCGCGGCGGCCCACCGAGAGCTGTGCGGACCTGGGCACGGCTACGTCTTCGAGCCGGAGCACATCGCGTCCTGCGACCGGTCCCTGGTCTCTCTGCCGAAGGGGGGCGGCCTCGCTGATGGGGGCCGCATCCTGGAGGGAGAAGCTTTGCAGCAATGGGCAGGATGGAGGCAGCTGTTGAAGCGACACCCCGAGGGCGACAGCCAGGCGCCCAAGCCCCACTACGACGGCAAGTTTCGTTCCCGATCTACCTACGCCCAGTTCGTCGGTGACCTGTTGGACGCTGGCGTGGTCTCCCTGAAGCAGCAGCGGGAGGAGACTGCGGGGGCCTTCTTTGTGCACAAATCGAATGGTATGCAGCGTTTAATTATTGACCCTCGGCGTGTCAATGACTTCTTTGAAGCTCCAGCGCACACAGTGCTCCCGACGGCGGGGGCTTGGTCAGCGTTGGAGGCCCCCATAGACCAGGAGTTGCACCTCGCTCAGGCCGACGTGGACAACGCGTTCTACAGGATCGGCTTGCCGCGGGGGGCGCAGGAGATGTTCGTTTTGAGAGCTGTCCACCTTCCCACCCTGCTGAAGCTGAGGCCTGACCTTTCAGCCCAGCTGCCGCCAGGGATCGAGGCGTGGGCGTCACCTTGCCTAGAGGTGCTTCCCATGGGGTGGACGTGGAGTCTCTACTTTTGCCAATGCATGGCGATGGCTGGTGTTCAGGCTGCTGGCTTCGCCCTCTCCGATTTCATCCAGGATCGCCGTGCAGCCCCGTCGGTGACGGACCGCAACCGTGTGGCCGTCTACGTGGACGGAGTCGCTGCGGCGGGGCTGGAGGCTGACCTGGTGACCTCCGACTGCGAGCGGGTCGCCGCGAAGCTGGAGGCGCTGGGCCTGAAGTGCAAGGGCGTGGAGGCGGCTGGCTCGGACACCACCTTCACAGGCCTGAGCTTCGAGGTGGCCTCTGGCAAGATACGGCTGTCTCGGTCACGGACGTGGAAGTTGAGGTTGGCTCTTCTGCACACGGCCCCCCGCGGGTGGGCCTCGGGAGACGAGCTTCGGCACCTCCTTGGCCACTGGTGCTGGGCAGCGATCCTGCGGCGTGAACTGCTGAGTGTGTTCGCGCAGACGTACAGGTACATCGCCCTGGCCGGCTCCAGGAGGTGGAGGCTCTGGCCCTGCGTAGAGGCCGAGCTGCGGCGGGCCGCGGCCTTGGTCTGCTTCGCGTTCGTGGGCGCCAAGCGGCCCTACAGCACGGTCGTGACCGCGCCCGACGCCTCGGGGGCCAGCCGCCACGACTTCGGCGGGCACGGCGCGATGGAGACCGACTGGGACCTGGAGAGCGCATGGTGAGCCCGGACCTCTCGGATCACATCACCGAGCAGCTCCACAAGGAGGCCGCCGTGATGAAGGAGCGCAGGAAGTTGAAGGAGGAGAGGCAGGCAAGCCTTGCCCCCGGCGGAGGGGGCGCGGGTGGGAGCTCATCCGCAGCGGCCCAGGGGCTGCAGCAGAAGGTGAACGCCCAGGCCGCCGAGATCCGCAGGCTGATGGACAAGGTCGGTGAGACTGCACCTGCTGGCGACGGAGGCGCCGGCGGAGGACGCGGCCGCGGTGGCGGCCGGGGGGCCAAGTAGCCTACGGCGCTCCCATGGCGGTCCCGCGGGAGCTGCTTCCAGTGGCTATCCCTGCGGGCCCGCCGCCCGCGCCCCCTGTGGGCGCCTGCAGCCGAGCTGCGAGGAGCCGACTCCGCAAGAAGGAGCACCTCCACGCCTGGATGCAGGAAGTTCTGGTTTCAATTAATGAGCTGTATGGCCACGGGTCGCTGCCCGCCGACGGCAAGTCTTCGCTCGCGCAGGAGTGCGGGCTGGAGCATGTCAGGCGCGCGGTGGAGGACGCCGCGGCACCGCCAGCTTGCACCGCCGCGGCGGCCCACCGAGAGCTGTGCGGACCTGGGCACGGCTACGTCTTCGAGCCGGAGCACATCGCGTCCTGCGACCGGTCCCTGGTCTCTCTGCCGAAGGGGGGCGGCCTCGCTGATGGGGGCCGCATCCTGGAGGGAGAAGCTTTGCAGCAATGGGCAGGATGGAGGCAGCTGTTGAAGCGACACCCCGAGGGCGGCAGCCAGGCGCCCAAGCCCCACTACGACGGCAAGTTTCGTTCCCGATCTACCTACGCCCAGTTCGTCGGTGACCTGTTGGACGCTGGCGTGGTCTCCCTGAAGCAGCAGCGGGAGGAGACTGCGGGGGCCTTCTTTGTGCACAAATCGAATGGTATGCAGCGTTTAATTATTGACCCTCGGCGTGTCAATGACTTCTTTGAAGCTCCAGCGCACACAGTGCTCCCGACGGCGGGGGCTTGGTCAGCGTTGGAGGCCCCCATAGACCAGGAGTTGCACCTCGCTCAGGCCGACGTGGACAACGCGTTCTACAGGATCGGCTTGCCGCGGGGGGCGCAGGAGATGTTCGTTTTGAGAGCTGTCCACCTTCCCACCCTGCTGAAGCTGAGGCCTGACCTTTCAGCCCAGCTGCCGCCAGGGATCGAGGCGTGGGCGTCACCTTGCCTAGAGGTGCTTCCCATGGGGTGGACGTGGAGTCTCTACTTTTGCCAATGCATGGTGATGGCTGGTGTTCAGGCTGCTGGCTTCGCCCTCTCCGATTTCATCCAGGATCGCCGTGCAGCCCCGTCGGTGACGGACCGCAACCGTGTGGCCGTCTACGTGGACGGAGTCGCTGTGGCGGGGCTGGAGGCTGACCTGGTGACCTCCGACTGCGAGCGGGTCGCCGCGAAGCTGGAGGCGCTGGGCCTGAAGTGCAAGGGCGTGGAGGCGGCTGGCTCGGACACCACCTTCACAGGCCTGAGCTTCGAGGTGGCCTCTGGCAAGATACGGCTGTCTCGGTCACGGACGTGGAAGTTGAGGTTGGCTCTTCTGCACACGGCCCCCCGCGGGTGGGCCTCGGGAGACGAGCTTCGGCACCTCCTTGGCCACTGGTGCTGGGCAGCGATCCTGCGGCGTGAACTGCTGAGTGTGTTCGCGCAGACGTACAGGTACATCGCCCTGGCCGGCTCCAGGAGGTGGAGGCTCTGGCCCTGCGTAGAGGCCGAGCTGCGGCGGGCCGCGGCCTTGGTCTGCTTCGCGTTCGTGGACGCCAAGCGGCCCTACAGCACGGTCGTGACCGCGCCCGACGCCTCGGGGGCCAGCCGCCACGACTTCGGCGGGCACGGCGCGATGGAGACCGACTGGGACCTGGAGAGCGTGAGGGCCGCGGCGGGCCAGGCCGAGAAGTGGCGGTGGTGCGTCTCAGATGCCATCGCTGCTCGCGCCCAGACGCTCGGCCTGCCGCAGGAACAGGGACCAAAGCGTCCAATGTCGCGCCAGGCAGGAGTCACTTTCGAACATATCACGCCCAGCCAGATGGGCGACGACAGCAGCTGGCGCCTCTGCGCAAAAGGTCGTTGGCTTCGTCATGAGAACATCCTGCGTACTGAGGGGCGAGGGGTTGTACTGGGGCTTCGGCATCGTCTACGTTCCCGGGCATCCCAGGGAGCTCGTCACTTGTTCCTTTGTGATAACATGTCCATGGTGTTGGCCCTCAGCAAGGGCCGGGGATCTACTTCAACAGTCAATCGTACGTGCCAAGAGGTTATTGCACTCAGTTTGTTTGCCAACGTTCACTGTTGTTTCAGATGGATAGCGTCAGAGATAAACCCAGCAGACCGACCGTCGAGAGCGTGGCCATCTCGGCCCGAGCCGCGGGACCCTCGGTCAGATCCACGATCGGCATGGTACCTTGATGCTCACGCGGCCGCCGCCCGCCTCGACCTGGCGCTCGAGGGGGAGATCGACAACCACCTCCTCCGCCAGCCAGGCGGGGCAGAGGCGGCCGGCCTCTGCGGCCTCGGGGACACCTGGCTGGACGAGCCTGCTGCGGCCTTCGGTCGGCGGGTCGAGCCAGCCGAGTCGCCACCAAGTGGAGCTGCCGAGGCGGCGTGGAGCAGCTCTTCAAGCAGCTCAGGCGAGGAGGAGCCGACGAGCGACGCTGAGGCAGACGCAGAGAGAGGCAGCTCAGGAGGCGGCGGCCGCGGGCCTGGGTTACATGCAGGCATCGCGGGCACAGCCGCAGACGATGGCCTACTACCGGGTCATCCTGAGCGAGTTCGAGAGGTGGGCCGAGGAGCAGGACCTCAAGTTGGTGACGCCGGAGGAGATGGACCAGGCCCTGTCCGCCCACATGGACTCGCTCTTCTTCGAGGGCTACAATCACGATCAAGGAGAAAAGCTGATAGCAGCCGTCAAGTACTACGACGTGCACGGGCTGTACCAGTCCGTGGAGGCGCTGCCCAGGGCCCGCGCAGCCTTGAGAGGCTTCCGCAAGCGGGCCCCCGGCCAGTCGCGGGCGCCCCTGCCGCGGCCAGGGCTGGCGGCTCTGGTGGGCGCCGCGTTGTTCTTGGGGATGCAGGAGCCGGCGATGGCCCTGGAGGTGGCGTGGTGCGCCTACCTTCGGCCCCCCAGCGACTTGATCTCCATGACCGGCTCTTCGCTCATCCCGCCCCAGCGGTCCACGGGGGTGTCTCACTGGGCGCTGCTCCTGTACCACGAGGAGAAGCAGCCCAGGAGCAAGACTGGCCAGTGGGACGAGGGCTGCCTGCTGGACAGCGACAGGGTGACGGCGATGGGGCCGCTGCTGCAGGCGCTGGTACGTCGTGCCGGGCCGAGTCTGCCGTCGTGGTCCTTCTCAGCCGCGCAATTCCGAATGCTGTTCCGCAAGGTGGCGCAGTTGGCTGGCCTCCCGGACTTGAACCCCTACCAGGTGCGCCACGGAGCCGCCAGCGCCGACGCCCTCCACCAGAGTCGGGACATGAAGACCATCCAGGAGAGGCTGAGGCACGCTCAAGAGTCGTCAACACGACGGTACAAAAAGCACACGAGGTATCTCCGCGAGGTAGACCAGCTGGCGCCCGACACGAAGCAGTACGGAGACTACGTGGACGCCAACTTCGAGGCGCTGATCACCAAGCGCAAGGCCGTGGCCGCGCCTCCAGGGGCAAAAAGGCCGCGGCGTTGGCCGCCGGCCAGTTCTGGCGCTCAGGACACACTCTTGGCTCTGCCCTCCAGCTGTCGGCCGCGTCGGTCAGACGCAGGCTCAAGGCCGCGTTAGACCAGGCGCTGGGCCGCCAGCCTCGGAGGGCACAGACTTTTCTGGACCTCTTTGCCGGGACAGGCCGTGTCGGGAAATGGCTGGAGAGGTTGAGCGGATTGCCGGCCCTCCGTCTCGATGTCAAGGCTGACCTTGCTTTTGATCTGTCATCCGACGCAGCTCTTAAAGTAGTTCGAGGTTGGATCGGGAGTCGTGTCGCGCGGGCCGTGTGGCTCGCCCCCCCGTGTTCGACGTGGAGCGTTGCCAGCCGAAACACATTCCGCACGCCTCAGCATATATATGGTCGGCCCGACCTCTCTGACAAAAACGCAGTCAAAGTACAGTTCGGCAATGCAACAGCTCTCTTTTCAGTATGTGTGGTTCGTGCGTGCTTCAAGGCAGGGATCCCAGTGGCAATGGAGAACCCCCAGTCTAGTCTCCTCTGGCAGTGTCCCGCCCTTTTAGACCTCACGCGCCTAGACAGTTGTAAAGAGTTTGTGACACACATGTGCCAACATAATCGTGCCTGGAAGAAGCCCACTAAAGTCGTGGGGTGGAATGTAGGGGCTCCGCCTAAAGCACTTTGCAAACGGTGTTCTGGGGTCCAAGGGATGCGCAGTCGCACGCTCCGACCTCACGTGGCCCTCCAGGGCCGCGGACCCGGGGACCCCAGGAACCTTACAGCCCGGGCCGAAGAGCACCCTGACTCCTTCGCCCGGGGTGCCGCTTCTTTGCTTGTGCAGGCTGCCGACCGAATCCAGCTCAATCATCTCGCGTCTTTGACAATGTGAGCAAGCTCATGCGGCTTGGCCAGAATTGATTTGGGAAGATGGGAGCGAGCGCGCTCTGTTATAAGTTCCGTTCGCAGCAAGCACCAGTGTCGTCCACCCTTGGCAGCCTGCTACCTCTCTGGAAAATCATCTGCGTTGGCAAGCGAGAGTGTTCAGAGCAGGGTTCAGTTTTTCAAACGTTAGTGCTCCAAGTTGTAGCGCAGCCGCCTCGATAAACCGATGTGCATCCATGGACATCGGGCTCAAGTGCACCACCTCCCTCCCCTCCTCCTGCTTTCCTTTCTTTCATTATATGTGTCGTCAAAGCTGGGGAGCGAGCGCGCTCTGTTATAAGTTCCGTTCGCAGCAAGCACCAGTGTCGTCCACCCTTGGCAGCCTGCTACCTCTCTGGAAAATCATCTGCGTTGGCAAGCGAGAGTGTTCAGAGCATAAATATATATATGTGTGTTATACCTATACGACCACCCTTCGGGTGATATGGAGGTTGGGGGGGAAGGAAAAGCCACTGACAGCATGGCGATAAGATGGCGACATTGCACGTTGATGTTTCTGGTGAAAAAAGAGTCATTGCTATTGCAATAAAAGCGACAGCCGCGATGGACCTCACACCATATGAATGCGACCTCGAAAACGATTCCAATCGACTGATTTCACTACCAGTTGCACTATCGATCTCATGATCGGTCCCAGTATCTATCTCACAATACCGCGCGCTGGGGGGGGGGGCAGGGGCGGACAGCCGGCTCCACAGACCCTAGCCACGGCGGCATCTTTCTTCTCGCGCGCCTACGCAGCTTCGCCTCGCCCGCACGCACGACACGAACACGAAACCGAAAAAAAATCTCCCGGTGGGGGGTTCTCCGTTTCATTGCGATCTCACCCCCTCAATCTCCGACAACATAGATGGCACCATGCTAGCCAGCGTAGACCCTAACGATGTGGAGCCCAGTCTACGTGCTGCAATGTATGGGGTGCAATCTACGTGGCGCAACATGTGTGGTGCGATCTACGTTGTGCAATAGATGCGGTGCAATATATATATATATATATATATATATATATGTGTGTGTGTGTGGACGGTGCAGCCCATGTTGTGTAATATATGGTGTGCGATCTATGTTGTGCATTTTACGTGGTGCAATCCAATGCTCGCAGTGAGTTGTCAACTCCACTGCTCGCGCAATCATCCCACCAATCCGCCCGCAGATCGGTTTGCAAAACCATGCGACGGCGATTGCGACGAGTGCTTGCGGTTCAATCTTCAAGTGCATATCAAGGCTTGTTGTGGCAAGGGCAAAGTATAGCCTTTTGCGCGAGTGCTGCGCCGCAAGTTGCAACGTCGGCGACAGAACTTCCATGTTCACATTCCAAAAAAACACCTCCGGTTTCGAATGACGGGATGGCTCCCTTCGCTTGGCGGACTGGAGGACCGACAAGGTGGAGAGAGCAGGAGTACTTCGCAAGAAGCAGTGAGGGCTGGAGTACGAGAAGGAGTGCGAGCTGCAGCGTGCGGAGAGGAGGGGCCCGAGCAGCAGGCGTGGGAGAAGCAGTCGAGTTGGCCAGGTCGAGCGAGTCAGCGGGCCCCGCCATTTCCCACCCTCCCTCCCATAACATAAGCGCGAGGAGGAGGAGGAGGAAAGGAGGAAAGGAGGAAAGGAGGAGGAGGGGGAGGAGGAGGAGGAGGAGCAGGAGGAGGAGGAGGAGGAGCAGGAGCAGGAGGAGGAGGAGGAGGAGGAGGAGGAAAGGAGGAGGAGGGGGATGAGGAGAAGAATCGATGACTGCACAATTTAAATCATGGGACTGGAACCCGTGCCCGCCTAACGAACGGACGGTGCTCGCGCGCGGTCCCGCCTCCGACGACTTGGCGAGAAGGAACAAGGATAGCCGCGCGCGGGCGGGAACGCAATATCCGATAGTCATGGCGCAGCGTTCCGGTGAGTACCATGCAGTTTTCTCCCGAGTGGTTGGAAGTCCGATGAGCGCGGCGAAGACGAAGCATGCGTCACATCGTTTTTCTCACGCAGAGGAGGAGGAGGAGGAGGAGGAGGAGGAGGAGGGAGAGTAGGAGGAGGAGGAGGAGGAGGAGGGGAGGAGGAGGAGGTGAGGAGGAGGAGGGGAGTAGGAGGAGGAGGAGGAGGAGGAGGAGGAGGAGGAGGGCGAGCAAAAAGGAGAGTGGCCTCTTGGATGCCCTGCGAGCGCCTCGACGAGGACCGCGGTGCGCCCGTTCTCGCGCGGCCCAGCTGCCGCGGCCGTGCTCCTGCAGCTAGGCCAGGGGGGCCCGCGGCGGGCCCCACGAACCGGAAGGGCACCTCCAGGCGAAGGTTCCACGGACTCTGGGCGAGGGCGACAGACCATCGTCCCTCCCCTCCTCCCCCTCCTCCCCCCCCCCTCCTCCCGTCCTTCACCCTCCTCCTCCTCCTCCTCCTCCTCCTCCCTCCTCCTCCTCCTCCCCCTCCCTCCCTCCTCCCCCTCCCTCCTCCTCCCTCCTCCTCCCTCCCTCCTCCTCCTCCTCCTACTCCTCTCCTCTCCCCTTCTCCTCTTCCTCCTCCCTCCTCCTCCTCTCCTCCCCCTCCTCTCCTCCTTCTGCTCCTCCTCCTCCTCCTCCTCCCGCTCCTCCTCCTCCTCCTCCTCCCTCCTCCTCACTCCTCCCCCTCCTCCCCCTCCTCCTCCCCCTCATCTTTCCCCTCCTCCGCCTCCTCCTCCTCCTTCTCCTCCCTCCTCCTCGACTTGGCGAGTGAAAAAGCTGCGCCGCGCCGAGGCGGGAGCGCCAGTTTCTTGCGAAAGCTGCGCGGCGCCGAGACGAGAGCGGCATGCCTGTCCGCTCGCGCGCGCGGCGCCGTTGCCAGTGCATTGGCAAGCGAAGTTGTGGGCCGCCGCGCCCGAACGGGATTCCCATGCTCAAGATCAATAAATGAACGCACCTCACACACATAGACACTCGGCCAGATAGAGTTGCTGGAGCTACGGTCGTAGCTCGGCCTCTTTGTCGTTTGCCCGAGACGGAACTGCTCGTGCTGAGGCACGACCGCCTTTCACGGAGCCGTCTAGGGACCTCTAGAGTTGTCCAAGAAGCCCTCCAAAAAATGAACGCGACGCCGAGGCGAGACCGACATTTTGCGCTTTCGCGCGGGATGTGCGGCCCGCATTTCTCCCGCCCCGCATTCTGCAATGTCGGCGCCAAGACGCCCATCTCGGAAGGGTCCACACAGAATGTGGAATGTGTTCTGTTGGCAGGGTGCAACGTCTCAGATTGAGTTGCTCTCGGTCGGGTCGGTGGCATAATCTGAGGATGTAGTGTTTAGGAAGTGTATTCGGGGTGCGAAAAGACGGACGAGTAAGGATAGGAGGAACGACGTTTGGCGAGCGATACATTGTCATATGTTTTCCGTGGACTATTCTTTTGGGACGACGGTGCGCCCGTGCTTTACCAAAGTAGATCGCAATGGGGGACGATTGCTTATTGTTACCTCAGAAGGAGCGCGTTCTGTGGTCGCTTGGAAGGGGGGGGGGACCGGACTTCCCCCCCCTCCCACCTCCCCTACTTCTCCTCTCTCCCTCTCCTCACGCCGGCGTCGGCGGCGGCTGGCGGCGGCGGCGGAGGTGCTGGTGGTGGTGGTAGTGGCGGTGGCGGTGGTGGTGGTGGTGGTGAGGTGGTTTGTGGTGGTGGTGGTGGTGGTGGTGGTGGTGGTGGTGGTGGGTTGTGCTGATGGTAGTAGTGTTGGTTGTTGTGGTGGTGGTGGTGTGTGGTGGTAGTGGTGGTGGGTTGTTGTATTGGTAGTGGTGGTGGTGAGCTGTTGTGGTGGTGGTGGTGGTGGCTGTGGTGGTGGTGGTTGTGTCGTGGTTTGGAGGTGGTGGTGGTGGTGAGTTGAGGTGGTGATGGTGGTGGTCGTGGTCGTGGCGGTGGTAGTGGTGGTGGCGTGGTGGTTTGTGGTGGTGGTGGTGAGCTGTGGTGTTGGTGGTGGTGGTGTTGCTGGTAGTGGTGCTGGTGGTGGTGGTGGTGGGTGGTGGGTGGTGGGTGGTGGGTGGTGGTGGTGGTTTGTGGTGGTGGTGGTGGTGGTGGTGGTGGTGTGGTGGTTGTGGTGGTGGTGGGTTGTGGTGATGGTGGTGGGTGTGGCGGTGGTGGTGATGGTGGTGGTCATGGTGTGGTGGTCTGCGGTGGCGGTGGTGGTTGTGGTGGGTTGTGGTGGGTTGTGGTGGGTTGTGGTGGTGCTGGTGGTGGTGGTGGCATTTGTGGTGGCGTTTTTGGTGGTGGTGAGGTGGTTTGTGGTGCAGTTGTGGTGATGGTGGATTGTGGTGGTTGTGGTGGTGGCGGTGGTGGTGGTATGGTGGTCTGTGGTGGCGGTGGTGGTGGTGGTGGTGGTGTGGCCTTCGGCTCTTCCCGCCACTGCTTTGGCAACAAAAGGTCAGCGTTCTAATGGATGCCTCTTGAGGTCTCGTCAGAAGGGTCTCGGGCGCGTCTGGGGAACATGCAAGGGCTCGATATGGCGATTTGTGTGTGTTCCCTCTGCGGCCTCTGGGCCCTCTCTGGTCATCGTCGCTGCGTCCCCGCCGTCGGCGCTGCTGGGTGCCGCCAGCGCCGGCGCCTGCGCGGGGGGGAGGGTTTGAACCCCCCCCCCTATCCTGGGCCCTCTCTGGTCATCGTCGCTGCGTTGGCGCTGCGGCGGCCGCCAGCGCCGGCGCCGGGGGGGGCCCCCCCTTGGGAGGGGGAGGGGGGTTTCGGGAGGAGGGGGGTCAGGGGGGAGGGGAGACCCCCCTGGTTCTGATCGACGGCGCCGACTGTTGGGGGGGGGGCTCACCCCCTGGTTCGAAACGCGCCGCCGAATGTTCCCAAGGCAAGCGCCCGTGAAACGCGCTTTCTCTTGCCTCACGATGGTACTTCGCCTTCAGAGCGAAGACCTTTGGAGCCTTACAGCCATAGCTGAGCACCCCAGAAGTGGTGATGTGTAGTCGTTTCGGCATGCCGAGGGTGTAACGTATAGGCAGGGGCTAGAGAGTTGATGCAATTCACGGGACTCTGTTACGACGGACCGCAGTTCGAGGGCCGCACAGGTGAGGCAGGCTGGGGCCTCCTCCTCATCCTCGCCCATCTCGTGCCCCACCTCCCCATCCGCCGATACATCTCTATCGTCCGCCTCAGCCCCCTCTTTGTCGAGGAGTAGGGCCAAGGGAGGACACAACACCCCGACCCCAATGAATGGCGTTTATTTAGCAGCCGTGGGCGTTTACGGAAAAGCCCTGCCCTGTTCGAGTCTTTCCGCAGGTGCGTTTATTGATAGACTTCGTTTGACGGAGCGCTTATTACGAGGAGTGCGTAATACGGCATGCCCAAAGAGGACGCGGAGGAGGAGAGGGTTGGATATGTTCCAGGGTAATCAGGGCCGCAGGTGTAGTGTTTCAGTGTCTCTGCGAATGGCGCTCGAGGATTGCCTCATCCAAGCGAACGCAGCGGCCGAAGCAGTTAATAGTCGATCGCACATGAAATGCACACGGTGCCTCACATATCGGAGTGGCCCGCGCATTTTGGAGGATCGGGGAGGGATAGGGGATGAGGGCAAGTTGGGCGCGTTCGCGCCACATCTGACATCCAAACCGTCCCTCCCGTCCCTTCCCATTGCGTTGGAGCCCTGTTTTTCCGCCGATGGCGGTGGCTTGGAGGACCTTGATCCCCAAATTCTAGACGCTTCGCGTAACCCCAGCAGCACATCCAGAAACGATGCCCAGACGAGTTTCCTTGATCGGGGAAGCGGAGGAGCATGCAGAGAAGCAAAGGGCTGGAGAAACCGTCGTACCCCAAGAAGGGAGGGAAGGATGAGGAATCGGAGGAGAAGGAGGAGGAGGAGGAGGAGGAGAAGGAGGAGGAGCAAGGAAGAGGAGGAAGGAGGATGAGGAGGACGAGGAGGAGGAGACGGTGGAGGAGGACGTGAAGGAGGAGGAGGTGGGGGAGGGGGAGGAGGCGAGGAGGAGGGGAGGAGGAGGACGTCGGGTTGAGGGAGGAGGGAGGAGGGAGAAATAGGCGGATGAGAAGGAGGAGAAAAGGAGGAGGAGGAGGAGGAGGGCGAGCTCGGGGGCTTCTTGGGCTATCTTGGGTGCTGCTTGGCGGTCCCAGGGATCTCTTGCGTACCTCTTGGAGCCTCTTGGGGCCTCTTCGGGTTCTCTTGGGAGCCCCTTGGAGGCCTCTTCGGCGCCCCTTGGGGCCTCCGCGGCGCCTCCTGGGGCCCTCGTGGAGCGCTCTCGGGAGCGTTGGGACGCTCTTGGAGCCATCGATCCCAGAAGGGGAGGGTCGCAATTAGCATTGCCCCTCGAGAGTGCCTCAAATCGCCTCCCTCTTGGAGCGCTCTTGGGACCGTCTTGGGGCTCTCTTGGGCCTCGCTTGGGACTCCCTGGGGCCCTCTTGGAGTTGCCTGGAGGCCTCGGAAGGCCATCGAGAGCAAAAAAGCGAGAAAGCAAATCTGTGTTTGCCATTAGGTGTTGGAAAGATGTTGGCCGTTTGGTGGCCTCTTGGGGAGGCTCCGTGGCCACCTGGAGCAGTCGTGGAGCGTTCGTGGGGCCTCTTGCAGCATCGTGGGAGCCATATTGAGGTATATTGGGCTATCTTGAGCCATCTTGGAAGTAACATTTGGCTCTCTGAGGTGCTCTTGGTGCCGTCTTGGACCATCTTGGACGCTCCAACCCCTCGCGACCCCCCCGTCCAAGTCCAGGGGAGGGGCTAAGGGAAAGAGGTAAGCCCCTCCTTGAAGGGGAAGAAGGGGGTTGGAGGAGGAGCCACCCTAGACCACCTACGCCCAGAGGGCTGGTGGGTTGCAGCTGCAGGATGCGACCCATCGTTTGCTGTGCAACCTAGAAAGGGGGGCACGTGCACATTGAAGAAATGAGGAGAAGGTGGATGGACGCAATCGAGCAGGGGGAACATGCGTGTCTTGGGCAGGCGGGGGAGGGCAACGACGGGAGAAGGGCAGCGGCGACGACGCAGTCGGATCCAGAAGTGCGGCCTGCGTTGGGTCTGGAGCGCATGTTTGGAACGACGGGGGGGGCACAGCACCGATCCCGAAGTGTGGCCAGGCATGCAGCGGAAAGCGTGTCTGTAGGGCCAGGAACGTTCCGATTGCAGAAACACGTGGAAGACCCGATCCCGAGGCTGTGCCAGCCAGCGCAGCAGCAGGGGAGATAGAAGAGTAGTATTCACGGTGCGGCAGTGTAGAAGGACGGGGAAGAGGAGGAGGAGGAGGAGGAGGAGGAGGAGGAGGAGAAGGAAGAGAAGTGGCCCCCCAAAAGAGGAAGGAGGAGGAGGAGAACCTTTTTGTGACCAGCCTTACTTCTGCTGCGGCTTCCCAACACGAGGGCCCCAGCTCCGCTCACCGAGCCTCCGTAATTGTCGGTGTGAGGCCTCCGCCGCCTCGGTTCTCTCCTCCTCGACGCTCTCCCCCAGGACCCTCCGCGGCAGTGTCGGCCCAGGTCGCCGCAGGCTCGCGAGCCGCGGCTGGCCTGCAGGCTGCCGGCTGCATGACCCCGTTGCGCGCTGCCGGTGCGGTAGCGGCCTGACCCGGCCAGGGATGCGGGCCGGAGCCGCGCCCGAGCCGCCGGGCAAGGCGCTGCTGGAGCCGCTCGTGGGCCCGCCGGCGCCCGCAGAGGCGTCCACGATCGAGGCGTCGACCGCGGAGCCGTCGGAGGACTCCAGCAGTGGCGAAGCGTCCTGGCCTGCCCACAGGCCCACCGCAGAATGTTAGCCGAGCCTGCAGTGGTCTGCGCGAAAGGCTCTCGGAACACATGTCTGGCTGAGGCCGCCTCGTTGTAGCACATCGGGCAGCTGTTCTAAGAGCACTGTTTTTGGTTCTAGAGCATCTGTGGGTTCTGCGAACATCTCGGAGTTGGCCCATGGGAATGCCAAGGCGGTCGCCCCCTGCTCAAAGGACAGCTCCAGCCTGAACACAGTCAGCTCAGGTGCGGGAGCGGTGGCGGCGCACCTCCTGTCCGAGTCCCCCGGCCGCCTCACGCTCGCTGTCATGGGGCTCAGCGGCGTGGGCAAGACGGCGCTCTGCCGGCAGTACGTCGTGGGCAGCTTCGAGGCGGCGCACGAGCCGACCATCGAGGACCTGCACCGCAAGGAGGCCGCCCTGCCCGGGGGCGCCCGCGCCTGCCTGAGCATCCTGGACACCGCCGGGCAGGACGCGTACAGCGTGCTGCGGAGGAGCTGGATGCAGAGCAGCACGGGCTTCCTGTTCGTCTTCTCGCTGGCCGACCGGCGGACGTTCGAGGAGCTGCCCGCCTTCCGGGAGGATTTGGACGCCCGAAATGGGTACGGAAAGAATGGGCACAATGCCCAACAACAAATGTTGCCCCAAACCATCAGCGGCCGCTGTTGGGCGGGCGGCCTCCTGTCTCGAATGAACACAGGCCGCGGCGGCGCGGACAGCGAGTCCTGTTCAGAATGAACAAGAACTGCTGTTGGGCATCGTACCCATTCTTTCCGTGCCCATGTCGGGCGTCCAAAGAGGAGCTCGTGGACCTCTACCACGACAGCCCGCCGCCAAGCGTGCTCGTCGCAAACAAGGCGGACCTGCACGCGAGCGAGTGGGCCGTCAGCCACGAAGAGGCTCAAGGGGCCCAAGGACACCCATAAATGCACACAAATTCCAGGATTCCCCACCTACTATTTTCTGGATTCTCGTCCTCCCCCCCACCTCCCATCTCTTCCCATCTCTTCCTGGGCGTCGACGGCGAATCGTGTCTGTGTGGTGTTTTCAGGAGCGAAAGAAGGACGTACATGTACTTGAATCCACGCTGGTTTCGAGAGTACGCATTGCGCAAATGTTCGTATGACGCGGCCGGTCTCGCGGATCGAGGGGCCGTGTTCATGTACATAGTTGGGCGCGTACGTCCTTTGTGGGCTCCCTATTCTTCCCCTCCTGAGAGGCGTGGCACCTCCAGTCCCGCTGGCCGAACTGCCTGAGGGTCGTTCACGCGTCCGCCCTCTCCGGGGTCGTTCACGCGTCCGCCCTCTCCGGGGACGGGATCCCCTCCTCCTCCTCCTCCTCCTCTCCTCCTCCTCCTCCTCCTCCTCCTCCTCCTCCTCCTCCTCCTCCTCCTCCTCCTCCTCCTCCTCCTCCTCCTCTCCCTTGGGTGGGAGTAGGGGGGAGGGCTCCTTAGAAGCGCCCCTGCTTCTCAGAAGGCACGGGCCTCATCTATAGATGTAGGGCTGGCACCGTCTGAGAAGAGAGCCTCCTCCCAAGGAGCCCTTCCCCCCTCCCTCCACCCCCTCGTGCGCAGCGCCAGATCGGCACCGTTTGAGGCACTCCGTTCTTGAGGGCACCATCTCGGGGGCAACGATAGGGGGGATGGGCATGGGGTGGGGGGATGCATCGACCCCCAACTGCCCAGGGATCGCCGAGACGGGTCTGACAGCCCCTCCCCGCCCAGGAAGGTGCGGTTCCGATCCATCGGCGACGTATATCGCCGATTCCAGCTCGATGCATCCCCCCCTATGCCAGTCTCCCCCTATGGTGGTCGTTGTTTTATTCGTTGTTTTGCCGATCGGCGCGGGCCTTCGCACCCCTCCCCCCATCCGCCCCCCATGGAGTGGATCTTGGCTGTTTCTGGCGCCCGTTTCGAGCGGGCGGAGCCTCCCCCACAATGGACGCACTGCTGAAAGCGGTCGCACTGAGCAGAGGTTCAGAGCCAGACCCCCCCCTCCGGGGGTGGACAGAACCCCCACCCTGACACGTCGATTAGTGAATTGTCCATTTTCGGTTCACGAGAGGGTGCCGCGGCCGTTATTTTCCAGCCTTGCGCCCGCCAGGGATGGGCCCGAGGTCGTTTTCACCAAACCACGTTTTACCCAAGAGAGGTCCGCCCATCCCCGACAATATCGAAACGCCGAATAACAATTGTCCTGGCGAAAGACCCAACCATAAGCAATTGTTCGTAACGCGTTGTGGGTGCCGCTTTCGGTGGGGCTCCCTATGGAGCCACGAAACGCTGCCCTGGGTAAGGGAAACGCATGCGAGAGCAACCACTGGGGCCTTCGGTGGCGCTCTACGAAACGCTGCCCAGGGTGGGGGAAACGCATGCGAGAGCAACCACTGGGGCCGTCGGTGGAGCTCCCTATGGGGCCACGAAACGCTGCCCAGGTAGAGCTCCCTATGGGGCACGAAACGCTGCCCAGGTTGGGGGAAACGCATGCGAGAGCAACCACTGGGGCCTTCGGTGGAGCTCCCTATGGGGCCACGAAACGCTGCCATGGGTGGGGGAAACGCATGCGAAAGCAACCAACCACTGGGACCTTCGGTGGAGCTCCTTATGGGGCCACGAAACGCTGCCCAGGGTGGGGGAAACGCATGCGAGAGCAACCACTGGGGCCTTCGGTGGAGCTCCCTATGGGGCCACGAAACGCTCCCCAGGGTGGGGGAAACGCATGCGAGAGCAACCACTGGGGCCTTCGGTGGAGCTCCCTATGGGGCCACGAAACGCTGCCCAGGGCGGGGGAACCGCATGCGAGAGCAACCACTGGGGCCTTCGGTGGAGCTCCCTATGGGGCCACGAAACGCTGCCCAGGGTGGGGGAACCGCATGCGCCCACCCCCACTGGGGCCTTCGGTGAGCTCCCTATGGGGCCACGAAACGCTGCCCTGGGTGGGGGAACCGCATGCGCACACCCCCACTGGAGCCTTCGGTGGAGCTCCTTGTGGGGCCACGAAACGCTGCCCTGGGTGGGGGAACCGCATGCGCCCACCCCCCCTGGACCTTCGGTGGAGCTCCCTATGGGGCCACGAAGCGCTGCCCTGGGTGTGGGAACCGCACGCGCTTCCCCTCACTGGGACCTTCGGTGGAGCTCCCTATGGGGCCACGAAACGCTGCCCTGGGTGTGGGAACCGCATGCGCCCCCCCCCTCACTGGGACCTTCGGTGGAGCTCCCTATGGGGCCACGAGGCGCTGCCCTGGGTGTGGTAACCGCATGCGCCCCCCCTCACTGGGACCTTCGGTGGAGCTCCCTATGGGGCCACGAAACGCTGCCCTGGGTGTGGGAACCGCATGCGCCCCCCCACTGGGACCTTCGGTGGAGCTCCCTATGGGGCTACGAAACGTGTGAGAGGTGTGCCGAGAGCAGAGGCAAGGAGGGGGAGGAGGGAGGAGGGGGAGGAGGGAAGGAAAGAAGGAAGGAAGGAAGGAAGGAAGGAAGGAAGGAAGAAGGGACGCCTGGCGAAGGACCCAACCATATGTAGTCGTGAATACCGCAAATATGAATGTCGTCTTCGGTAGGGGAACCGCATGCGGACACCCCCACTGGGGCCTACGGTGGAGCTCCCTATGGGGCCACGAAACGTTGCCCTGGGTGGGGGAACCGCATGCGCCCACCCCCATTGGGGCCTTCGGTGGAGCTCCATATGGGGCAACGAAACGCTGCCCTGGGTGGGGGAACCGCATGCGCAAACCCCCACTGGGGCCTTCGGTGGAGCTCCCTATGGGGCCACGAAACGCTGCCCTGCGTGGGGGAACCGCATGCGCCCATCCCCCACTGGGGCCTTCGGTGGAGCTCCCTATGGGGCCACGAAGCGCTGCCCTGGGTGTGGGAACCGCACGCGCTTCCCCTCACTGGGACCTTCGGTGGAGCTCCCTATGGGGCCACGAAACGCTGCCCTGGGTGGGGGAACCGCATACGCCCCCCCTCACTGGGACCTTTGGTGGAGCTCCCTATGGGGCCACGAAACGTTGCCCAGGGTGGGGGAACCGCATGCGCCCACCCCCACTGGGGCCTTCGGTGAAGCTCCCTACGGGGCCACGAAACGCTGCCCTGGGTGTGGGAACCGCATGCGCCCCCCCTCACTGGGACCTTCGGTGGAGCTCCCTATGGGGCCACGAAACGCTGCCCTGGGTGTGGGAACCGCATGCGCCCCCCCTCACTGGGACCTTCGGTGGAGCTCCCTATGGGGCTACGAAACGTGTGAGAGGTGTGCCGAGAGCAGAGGCAAGGAGGGGGAGGAGGGAGGAGGGGGAGGAGGGAAGGAAGGAAGGAAGGAAGGAAGGAAGGAAGGAAGGAAGGAAGGAAGGAAGTAAGGAGGGACGCGGGGCACCGTCTCTTCAAAACGAGGACCCAACACCACAGGATGGTTGGGGGAAAAAAAGAGCTCACCGGTGGGTGCCCCTCGCCCTCTCGCAGGGCCCCCTCAGGGATTGGCCCGAGGTCGTTTTCACTAGACCACGTTTTACCAAAGGGAGGCCTGCCCATCCCCGACAGTGTCGAAACGCCGAATAAAGAAATAACAAAGTATAAAACTCACCTGTGGGTGCCCCTCGCCACCTCGCAGGGCCCCCTTTTCGAGCCGCCGCACGGAAGCCTTCGAGCCGCTCTGCCTGGCGGCGCGTTCCTGGGCCGCAGCGCGGCGGCTGCGCCCGGCGCCGGCCGCGGGCCAGCTCGACGCGTGCACCAGGCAGCGGACGGCGTGCTGCTGCAGGAGTCGGCGGCGAACCCGGTTTAACAACTGTCAGGAGGGGAAAAATACACAGACACGATTCACCGTCGATTTCCAGGAAGATCTGGGAAAATATGGGAAGCGGGGGGGAGACGAAAACCTAGAAAATATGGGAGCACTGAGAATCTTGTTATTTGTGTGTATTTGTTTGTGTGTCCTGGGGCCCCTTCAGAGTCGGCGGCGAACCCGGCTTTCACAACTTCTACCGTCCTTCGATTCGCGCGCTGGAGCGGCCGCGAATCGCTCCAGCTTTCCCTGGAGATCTCTGGATCTGTCTGGATGCACACGGGTGTATCTCGCTGTGCCTGGAGGTATACCTGGATGTGCCTCGATGTGTCTGCACGTGCCTGGATTTGTGCTGCTCCCGGGTGGGACGTGAGAACTGCGTTGCTCCCATCGTCGAGGACCACGTCCCAGGAATTGATGGGCCTGTTTTCCACCACCACCACCATAAGCTGGAGAGGGGGAAGGAGGTGGAGGATGAAGAGGAGGAAGAAGAGGAGGAAGAGGAGGAGGACCTCCTCCCACTCCTACGCATGGTGGTGGCGGTGGAAAACAAGCCCGCCAGGAATAGCTCCGAGCACCCCGGAAGAGTGGCGAGACGGTGCCGGGCGAGCGTCTCCCGGGGCCCGACGCGCGAAGACCCTCGGGTTTCGGTGCTGTGCTGGCGCTCGGACTGCTTTGATGGGCCTGTTTTCCACCACCACCACCATGGGTTGGAGGGGGGAAGGAGGTGGAAGACGAGGGGGAGGAGGACGAGGACAAGGAGGAGGAGGAGGTGGAGGATGAGCAGGTGGACCTTCTCCCCCTCCAACTTATGGTGGTGGTGGTGGAAAACAGGCCCATCATGCTTTCTGGCGGTCGTGGCTGAAGTAGGTCTTCAAGTCGTGCCTGTCCCTCCACAGGAGGAATCTTCAAGAATAGTCAAAGAATAGCCTGGGGACGATTTGTTGACTACTTTTTGGCGTTTGGGGGATATTTTCGGAGTACTTTGAATTATTCGCCCAAAATCTTCCAGTAGGGGGGCAGGCCCGACCTAAAAGTAGGCTGGAACATCATCAAGTGAGAAGGAGAAGGCCTTTTCAGAAGGCCCAGAAGTCCCCCCGCCTTCCGAGAAGTTTCCTGAGCCTGGCCCGGAAGGCAGAAAAGAGATCTCTCAGAAGTCGAAGAAGAAAAAACGCCACGAACATGATTGTTTGGCGCTCCGCGCGGATTTCTTGGATCTGCGCTGGGGGCGGCGCCTCCGGCGCCGACCCAGGCGCGCTCCGCGCGCCAGGGAGGGGGAACCAGCGCAGATCCAAGAAGTCCGCGCGGATCGCCGAAAGTTTTTGTTTCTGCAGCTGCTCCTCCTTCTAAGAAGGCGCGAGGACCTCTGAGAGCCCCGTCGCCTTGAGAGAAGGCCTTCGCAAGGGGGGGAAGTGAGGAGTGGCGGCCCTTCTCAGAAGGCTCGGAAGTCCCCCGGGGCTTCTCAGAAGTCTCCTGATTGAGTCTTCTTCCCCGCAGAGACACCACGAGCCTCCCAGAAGCCTCGAGGGCTTCCGAGAAGACCCTCGCGCCTTCTGAGAAGGCCTTCGCCCTCTCACTTTCCCCCCCCGTCGCTCGCCGCCGGAGGAGGACGCGGGGGCTGCTGGCGCCCCGGGGCGTGGGCTGCCCGCCCGCCGGCCCCTGCGCGCTGCTCTGAGCTTCGCCATGGCCGGCAGTGCCTCCAGGCGTGCGCGGCAGTCTACAGTAGGCCTCCCAGATGGCATGGCATCGCTCGGACGTGTGCATTTGTCCGTCGGCGAGGACTATCGAGGAGCAGTCTTGATCATGTGGCGAAAAAGCCAGGCACGAGACCGAAAAAGGCACAGGGAATGGACGTCCGAGCGATGGCAGGATCGGCTCGGAGTACAGTGGAAACGTATAGTAAGGACGGGGTGGTGAGGACGCGAGACCTTTGGAGGCCGAGGTTGGGATTTGTTGGGCGGCGGCTTGAGAGGCTGGCCAGGGGAAACGGCAAAGGACGGGCCGCAGAGGCAAGGACACAAGGGTACCCTAGAAAAGGCGCGCGTCCTTACCATGCGCGTTGACTGTAGATGGGGTCGGAGGATCGCGCCGCATCGCCGATGCATCGCCGATGCGGCTGGATGCGGAGCCCGATGTTCTTCGCGTCGACGTCGCCGATGCATCGCCGACGTCGCCGATGCGTCGCTGGTGCATCGCCGGTACATCGCCGATGCGTCGCCGATGTATCGCCAATGCGGCGCGATCCTCCGACCCCGTCTACTCGGACCCCATCTAGGAGGCCTATATTTAGCCCGATGTGTCCTCTTGGCATCGCTCGGACGTGTGCATGTTTGTTTCTTGTCGGCGAGGGCCATCGAGGAGCATCAAGGGTCATCTTGCGAAGAAATACAATGGAAACACATTCAAATAAACACCCCGGTTGCCTCCAGGGTGCCCTGGGCTTCCTGGGCGTCGATGGCCTTGCGATGGAAAGCGTGGCGTTTCCACACCACAAAACCAACGGTCGCCCTAGGGTCCCAGCTAGTGCACACCAGAAACACGTGGACGCCAGTGCAAACCAAGAGCCAACGGTTTCTCGTGGTCGAGCGATTGGAAGCTCACGGCGGATGGGCGTCCGAGCGATGGCAAGGGTTTGTGCTTACCCTGTTCCGCTCTTCGAGGCCTCCTAGATGGGGTCGGGGTAGATGGGGTCGGCGGATCGCGCCGCATCGCCAAGGCATCGGCGACGCGGTTCGATACGGAGTCCGATTTTCTCCACGCCGACGTCGGCGATGCATCGCCGATGCATTGGCGAGGTATTGGCGATGCGGCGCGATCCCTCGACCCATTCTCCTCGGGCCACATCCAGGAGGCCCCTAGCTCGGGGGGGCCCGAGCTCGGGCTCGGGCGTGTGCGTTGCTGTGTTTTGTTGTTTTTCCCTGGTCGGCGAGGGGCCCTCGAGGAGCACCCCCAAGATCACCCTGCGCAGAGCTGCGCGCGCGAGGCCGAAAAGTGCCAAAGGGGGGGGGACGGGCGTCCGAGCAGTGGCTCGCGCTGGATGCCTGCCTCGCGGGCCTGCGTGGCCATGCCCTGCCGAGCTCCTGGCTGTGCGCCACAGGGAGGAGGAGGAGGAGGAGGAGGAGGAGGAGGAGGAGGAGGAGGAGTATCTGGAGTATCTGCCTGATCGCGTAGCGATGTATTGGAAAGACAATTCCGCTGCACCTACTGTAGGTGCTTACTCCTCTGAGCTTGCTCAGCTTTACTGAGAACCTTAGGCCAGAGACCTGAATTGATACGTCTAAGATACTCGCGCCCAGTGGCCGAGGGGGGTTGACACATCGTTGCTAGCTTCCCAATCTGCTGGGAGACGTAGCTCCCGCATGTGGAGCAGAACCAAATCCCCAGCCCAGCGTGGAACCTCGGATGATGGGTTTAATGAATCCACCCCCCTGCTACATGAACCTGCTTGCCCAGGGGGGGTCTCATATAAGTGCCATCAACATTTTCCAGATTGAAACACTCTGAATCATACCATTCAACACGGGTGCTAGCTGTGGCTGACCCCTTACATATATTACATTGTCTACCAGTGTCATCCAATTGGTGATGAGACCTGAAAACAGCACACAGGGAGGGGGCGGGAGGGCGGACAGGCTGAGCTTTCACTCTCCTAGGCTGTCGGCTCCCAGCTGGCAACTCACGAATCTGAGCCTTCTCGAACTCTAGGGCCTCTAAGGTGGATCTCAGGAGCCTCATGCGGACGAGGTAGGCGTCATTCTCGATACCCTGAATCTGCTGTCGGGGGTGCTTTTCCACACGGTGGCTGTCCGCTGCAACTGCTGCGAACTCGTCGGCGACAGTGTTGCCATATGCAAAGGACGCATTGGCACGGCCTAGGGCGACGTCCTCGCCCGTAGCATGGGAGTTGGTGAAAAGAACAACGAAATCGCCTGATCTTCTGGCTCGCTCGACGCCCACCTGGTGCCACAGGTCTGCATCTGGTCCGACTGGCGAGCTCGGATGCCCATTATAATAGTTGAGATAGACACCCTCGCAATCAGTGATGAAAACGACGTCTAACTCCGAAACCTGCATGGCGAGGAGAAGGGCTAGCAGCTCGCCTCGGACGACTGTCTGCCTGTCTCCTGGGAGAGGCCCCCACATCGCCGTCTGCAGCTGCATGTCGTTGATCCTGAGGCTGGGGAAGGCAGCGATGCCTATGCCCACGCGCCTGAGGACTGGGGAGGCTGTGTCCCCTCCTCCGCTGGCGTCCCCGAATATGTACATGACTGAGCTGGTGCGATTGGTCTCGAAGCACTGCGGTGAGAACTTCTCGATGCCATGAGCGGTCCAGTCGCATGTGCTGGCTGGCGGTGGGACCTGCGTCCACGCTTGAGGCAACAGGCCCCTTGTCCAGTAGCACTCGAACATGTCCTGCTGGGCTGAGGCTTGCGCAATTATGTGATCCGTGGAGTCGTACACGGGGCACTTCTGGTTGGCAGCACATTCCCAGGTGCGATGGAACGGTGTCTCCTTGGCGGCCTGGCAGCGCGGGCACTTGCCGTCGGTGATGGCGCTGGTCTGCTCCAGCACTCTGGCCTTCGGCCACGTAGCTCCCGCTGCTATGGTGAGCATCATGGTTGAGAGTCGCCGTCCGTGCTTCATCTTACTGAGGTACTGGAGTAGCTTGCGATATGATCGGTTGTCGATCCCTCTCTCCATCCCAGACCCCCCGTAGTGCTGGCTCGCACTGGCCCAGAGCTTGGCCTGGGCGCTGCGGTCGATGTCCTGGAGCAGTGTGTCTGGGATGTCCACGTGGGGGTTACCTGTGAGCTGCTGGCGATCGAACTCCCAGGTGTCTTGTCCTCGGCTGTCGACTATGGTCGGCGGGAGGATCCACTCCTGCGGTCCCTTCGGCGTCCAGCCGAGCTCCAGGAGGTACATGATGACGGTGGACTGCGGCCCCTTGATGTGGCGAACCCGCTGTCCGACGGGTAAAGATTGAAAGTGCCTGAGTACTGTATCCCAGGTGTGGCGGATGGCCCTCTCCATAGGCCCCGCCTGGATCCATGTCGTGAGCCACTGCTGGATGGTCTCGCGAGGAAACTTGCGTGCTGGGTCGGAGGGGCCTGCCTTGAGGCCCAGCAACGTTGTGAGGCATCGTCCCTGAAGGCGAGGGCCCAACGAGCCTCCAAGCCTCCTCCTGAAGAGTGTCAGATGTGTGCCGAAAACTCCGTGGGTTTGATGTGCGTAGCTGCCTCCAGCCTGTGCCCCCTGGAGGGCCAGCCCCCCTGTGACGTGGTAGCGTCGGGAGGCGCGGGCGAGGCGTAGGATTTTCTTGTGCTGCAGGCCGTGCTTGGCGTGGCGCTGCGTCCTGGCACTGCGGGCTGCCCGTGCGCCTGCCCCCAGGTCGGTGCCAAGGTAGGCCGCTTGGGCCTTGGGCACCACCTTGAAGCCTTGGCGAGCCAGACGGCGCGCGATGTGCCTCGAGTCGTCCATGTTGGAGCAGAGGATCACACTCTTCTTGGCGATGCTGAGTCCGCGATCTTGGAGTGCGCGGCAAGTGTCCAGCAAGCATTTGAAGAGGTCCCGTCTGATAGCCTCTCGAGACCCCTGCATGCGCTGGGATAGGTCGTCGACCCAGATGCGGTGGGAGCATCTGGCATGGACCTGAGTCACTCTCCGAATCGCCTTGTAGGTGATGACCTTAGCGAATCGGGTGCCAGATCTGAGTCCTTGAACCACTGATCGAGTTGGTTGGAAGGGTAAGGTGTAACTGCCGCTCTGGGTGAGAACTCTGGGCGCGATGCATTGGAGGAGTTCGAGGCCCAGAACCTCCGCTGGGAAGTCCAACTCGAGGGCCTGCTCCCCGAGGTCGCACCAGCTGATAGAATCGTAGAATTGCGAAATGTCCAGTAGTCCATGGCCGTGGGGTGCCCCTGCGTAGGCGCTGAGCTCCTCCTGTAGGGCCCGTTCATAGGCCTCCCGCAGAGCTGAATTCCCCCTTGATCGCTGCGCCCCAGTGTGCGTGGCATTCGCGGTTCCATGAACGAACTGCGTCCTCGCGACACATGGACCAGCAGCGGGCGATTTCGGGTAGTAATCCAACGATGCGGTCTCCGTTGTCCTTCTTGGCCCTCATGACTCCTATGGTCATGAGGAGTTGGTGCGGCCACGTCTGTAACTGCTCCATGATGTTGAAAAGACTGGCGAGTTCCTCCAGTGCCTCCTGTGGGAGGCGTAGGAGGTCCAGAGGGCTGAGGCGGTCCGCACCTAACCCTGTGCGTGCTCGCTGTCGTCGTAGGGCATGGCGTACGTCCTCTCCCGAGAGTGGTGGGAGACTCTGAACTTGAATCTTGTCGACGATGTGTTGGAAGAGGTCGGGGAGCCCTCCTAGTGCCAGTCCTGTTGGTGCCCATAGCTGGTGCCAGCAGGTGACCTTGTGGTCAAGCAAGTCCATGGGGTGCACTAGGGTATGGCTGCCCACCTTTGTCGACTCAGCTGGTTGTGGCTGTGGCTTGAGCGATCGATGTAGTGTGCCCAAGGCTGGGGCAGTGGTTGCCCACTCGCGGAATGCGAAAAGAGACTTGCCAACTGCTCGCCGCTGGGCGCGTCGGGCAAGGAAACCAGCTGCTGCTGCGTAGTCGACGACCTCCTCGACGGGGAGGGTGCGGATGTGGCTGAGCATGTCCTGCCACTTCGCCCATGGGAAGTCGTCCTTGGGTTTGATGATGCCTGCTGCCCCTGCAGGGGCTTCTTGTGACAGACGGTCCACTGCTTCGTGAAGTTGCTGTAGCTGACGCAGGCCGTTGCCACGTGCTCGGTGACGGTAGATGCGCTGCAACGTGGTGTGCAGTCTGGTCCACCATGAGCTGCTCGAATCCCTGAGTGCGGTAGCCCGTCTCGCCTGGGCCTCCCGCACCGTCACGACATGAAACCCGGGCCCTTGAGATCTGGAGCGGCCGAGGTGGTCCTGCTGATGGTGGCTGTGGATGGTAGCCTCGACCGCGGTGACCCACGATCCGTAGAGCTGACCGAGGGTGAGTGCGGCATCAGGTTTGAGCGAAAAGGCTACGGAGTGCGCCACAGCAGCAGCAGGGCAGCAGCAAGAGGGGTTACGCATCCCCGTTTGCACACGATGCTCGTTCCAGAGGGAACTCGGGATATCGCATGGCGGCTGCTGTCTGGCTGGGTCGGAGGTCCCCTCCGCTGACTGCTGCAAGTCAGAAACCTGGCTGGCACGTGTGGACTCCATCCCCTGGGTCCTAGCAGGTTCGGGGGGGTTCTCACGCTGGGCCGAATTAGAGGCGCTGGATGGGCTGCTAGGAGGTCCGTGGGGCTCTGTTTTCCCCTCGCACGTGGGAGCGACTGCTGGCACCTCAGCGGGCGACGGGAGGACGGCTGCGACGTTGGCAGCTGGCCTGAACACGGTCTCGCTTGCCCAGGGGTCCTCTTCTTCGGCCTCTGAAGCGTAACCAGGGAAAGTTGGGTCCTCGTCCTCGCCTGACGAGTCCCCTGCATGCGTGGACTCGGCATCGTCGGCCTCGCCCATTAAATCTCCGAAAACAGCGTGAAGAGTGCGGTCCCGAAGCTCTTGTCCCTTGGCGCCCTTCTCAGCCCGTTGGGCCTTGGCCAGACTGGACTTGGACCCAGGGGTGGGAGCTTTCGAGGGCCGAACCGTGTTTGGTAAACGACGGGGCAAATCCACGATGCGGGTGAGAAGCTGCTCTCCCGAAGAAACAAAATGGATGACGAGTGCAATGTGTGGCCGCCACGGTACATCATGCATTGGGGTCACCTGGTGTATGTAGGAACGAGCGGAGAGGCTGTGAACGAGATAGTCCAGGTGGGAGGCTTTCCTGCCCCCTCCTGGGTCACAAGTATATGCGACGTCTGCACACTTAATTACGCCTCCGACTTCCCCGAGGAATCCAGAGGCCTGAAGGGTGCGTGGTGGGATGTTCCAGTCGCCTATGACAACCCACGGAAGCTGAAGGGTCCTGAGGAAACTCCCTAGTCTCCTGTACCTCACGAGGTTGGTGCCCGAGAGGCCTACGCTGCAGGTCCCATAGAAAACGACAACAACTAGCGTATAGT